AACGGCTGATTGGATCTCCTCAAAAAGGTGATAAATTGATAAGATAAGAGCATGACAAAGTGTAAGCAACAAGTAAGGTGACAGGGCACTTCGGCGGGTAATGATCTCGGCTAGGACAAAGCTTCGGCGAGTAAGGTCTCAATGATCTCGGCTAGGAAGGACAACACTTGGCCTAGCTGTGCCACACCTTGGCCTAAATGTGCCACACCTCGGTCTAGGTCGTACCAGTCCAGGGACAAGATCACTTTGGTATAACATCTCGGCCTAGATAATACACATCTTAACCTTGGTGATGAACACCTCGGCCTAGATAATGACATCTCGGCCAACATGAGGGTGGAGGTCAACCAAAGTGGTTCCAAGATGGTCCTAGGTGTAAGAAGTTCAAAAGTGTAACCTAGGCTTAAGATGACCTCGGCCAAACTCACACCAAGCAAGGAACAAGGCATGCAAGCAACACTTATGCGAAACAAATCAGGGTTTGTAAATGCGACTTAACAAGACAAGATCATGTAAATACATGCAAGCATGACTAGAGTAAAGTGAGGGTTGTTACATCTCATGCTCAAATGGGGCAAGGGTAGATATTCTCATCTATTCGGCTCATCCATATGTGGCCGAATTATTCAGCTGCCCCACTTAATCATGGAGGTCATGTTATGTAATCGGCAAAAATCTCATGCTCAAATGGGGTAAGGGTAGATATTCTTATCTATTCGGCTCATCCATATGTGACTGAATTATTCAGCTGCCCCACTTGATCATGGAGGTCATGTTATGTAATCGGCGGAAATCTCATGCTCAAATGGGGCAAGGGCAGATATTCTCATCTATTCGGCTCATCCATATGTGGCCGAATTATTCAGCTGCCCCACTTGATCATGAAGGCCATGTTATGTAATTGGCGGAAATCTCATGCTCAAATGGGTTAAGGGCAGATATTCTCATCTATTCGGCTCATCCATATGTGGCCAATTACTCCACTGCCCTACTTGACCATTCGCTGTAGCACGTTTTTTGCTTTGAGCATTACCATAAACCATTACTATAATTTCAAAAACACATAAACCATTACTATAATTTCATTTTCATACACACATCACTTCTTAGAACTTGCATTTTTCATTCATAAACCGTATACGAACAAAGTATCATTTTATCAATGAAAACAACCCTAAATTCAAAACATTACTGATACTATATTAACACTAAAACAACTATACATAAACAGCAAAAATAAGCAAACTATTGTCAAACATCTTTAAAATCCTCTGGGTTTGATTCCAGAGGTTCAACCACCAGCTGCTCGTACGGAATTGTCAAATCAAGAGTCACTTTGGCAGCCGCCAAAGCTTTAAGCCGGCCATGCTTGAAGTCTCAGTTTTCAAACTTCAATGCTTCATCGGCATATAATCCTTTGGCTTGAAGCTCGCCAGCATCAAACGCCTTGGCTGCATCCACCTCCGCACGCTCTTGGGCCTTCTTTGCCTCCTCCAACTCGGCCATTAATTTGGCATTCTCTGCCTTGACCAACTTCAACTCACCGTCCATACTGGTAGCCCTCTCCTCGACGTGCCTTGCTTTCTCCTCTTCGGCAGCAGCCTTTGCTCGCTCCTCTTCTGCCCTCTTAGCTTTGGTTTCTGCCTTAGCTATCGTCGTTTTCAAATCGGCCATTGAAGCCACAGCCTTGTTTTTTTTATCCTCGAGTTGGCCTTAGATCACGCCGAGTCTCTCTATGGCGTCGTAGTAACGACGGCTGATCTCTGCTATCCTACCCGTCGCCTAACAAGTATAATAGCAATCACATTAGTAAACATAAAAACGGCAGAATAGATTCACCCCAGTGCATGCTACTTATCAGTATAGCTGACTGCGTCGCCAAGGCAATAGAGATGACGTTCGGCTTGGCACGGAACGCAGCTTTATCCAACGGAAGTGAAAGCACCGTTGCTACACTTAAAGCCACAGCGGGATCTTTAATGGCTGACTCGCTGGCCAGAATCGGCGCACATTTCATACTTGGCTGGATGACGAACGACTCGGCCGAATTCGGGGAAAACGCCTCTAACCTTTGCCGTTTATCAATCGATTCTTCTGGTGATTCGGCAATGAATTCGGCGGAGCGCTTTTCGCCCCTTTGGTCGGTTTGTTCGGAGCTTGAGGTCTCCATTGGCTAACGATTGGGGACTTTATCAGCCACGATCAATTCTTGAGTTGTTACTGCAATGGCCGCTGGAGGGAGAGTTTCTAGGTTCCCCCCGCTACCACTGGCTCTCCTCCGTGCCACCATCTTCTCGGCATTTCTTCTTCTGGTGAACTGGGCAAGTGACTCTTCGCCCGTTTCCCCAGGCAAGTCTTCCAATTCGGAAAAAATATCCTCTGGAGAAGCAATCTCCACTCAGCCTGAAGTAGATGGTTGGCCGCTGCCCTCTTGGTTGAGTTGCTCAAAGGCCAACTCAACTTCTCTGTTCAACTCTTGTTCTTCCAAATGGCTCCCTTGTCTAGCGTCTCCCGTGTCTGAACTCTCTTCTTCTAAACGGCCCTCCAGTCCAGCCTCTTCGGTATCTGAACCCTTAAGAATGACGTCCCTTAAGCTCTTAAAGTTGGGGAATATGAGTGCTGTAAGGTGCTATTCTTCTCTCGGCACGGGCATATGATCTGCCGCCGAAAAGGTTACGTAGGTTGGGTCGTATCTTAACAAAATATGCGCAGTGCGTCCTTGTCCTTGAAGATTGGCCCGTTCTTTGTACCTAAGGGCCGTCTTCACCTGGTTAAGAACGGTTTCGTCTGCCGACGGAAGGACTCTCTTTAAGTCGTTACCTGCGTACAAAACTAGTCAGTAATCTTTTAGAGCCAAATAGAATGACTAAGAATTATTTTTTAGCCACCTGGCTCGCCCTTCCGTCTTTGCACAGGGTCTTGGCGATCTTCGCCTTTGCTGAATTCCCAGTTGCCTCGAACGGCGACCATGACGATGTCGACTCTTTTTCCAGAGCTAGCAAGCATAGTCACCAAGTGGTGATCTATGTCCTTGGCTCTAAGAAAATAACGGCCCTGACGACCAGTTGATTTCGCCATGATATAGCAATGCCGAATTGCTGGAATTCCCAGGTTAAGCCCTAGCCGGCGGTTGCCTCGAACGGCGACCATGACGTCGTCGACTCTTTTTCCAGAGCTAGCAAGCATAGTCACCAAGTGGTGATCTATGTCCTTGGCTCTAAGAAAATAACGGCCCTGACGACCAGTTGATTTCGCCATGATATAGCAATGCCGAATCGCTGGAATTCCCAGGTTGAGCTCTAGTTGGCGGTTCAGTTCCACTAAACCCATGATTATACAGTAAAAATTCACATTGGGCTGAGAAGGAATGAGACCCCAGTAGCGCAGAACAGTCCTGAGGAAAGGGTGTAAGAGGAAACGAACCCCACCCTCAGCAATTGACAGGAGAGGGAAGATGATGGTGTTTGCATCCGCCCTCTCCATATCAACTGCACTGTCTGCAACGAGGGATAGATGGACGTCGTCGGGGATCGAAAAGTAATGACGGAAGGCGGCTACTCGCTCCTTAGAAAGGAGAGCTTTCAAATGAGTCGCCATTCTAGACGGAATAGAAGATACACAAATAAAAATACACAAAGGGACTGGAATGTGAACAAAAGAGGAAGAGAGGGAGGGACTTACAGGTCAGAACGAGGAAACAAAGCGAAGGAGCGATATGAAGCAAAGTCGGAAACGCAGGAATCTTGTGAGGGAGGAAGAATAGTTTGAAGAATGCAAAGGAGCCAAAGTTCAATACATACGATTTTAAATCGCATTAAAGGAACGTCAAATTACGAAGGGGCAGGAAGCAATGATGACCCCATACTGCGTCTGATCTGACGTATCAGTACCAAAAGGCGCGCGTGCGCCGTATTTCCGACTTCCAAAGTCTTTAGTCAAAATATTCACGGAAGCCGACCATGCCAAATAACGGGTGTCAATTGGGTGTTCGGGGGGCAATTGTGGTGGCCGAATAAATGAAACTGAGTCATAGGCTGGCCGAGTACGAGTCGGCGGCCCATATTGAATCCATGGTGATAGACAAGTCGGCCATGTTAGGTCTAGTGAGGGCCAAAGCCGAGTAAAACCAGGTTAAAAGGGCTGTCAGAGTCTATTCTCCCATGGGCTATATAGAGGGCCCATGAATGAGGTCAAAGCCCAAGAGGAAGCAGTGGGCCCTTGGAGGGTTGCTGGGGGAACAATATAAAAGAAAGGAGAGGAGGAAAGGGGGCATTCTGTTCTTGGACAATAGAGTATTCTTAAACCCATTACACCACAAGTTCCATGTAGTCCCCTTTCTTTGCTACATTTTTTGGTATCACCGTCACCGTCTTCTTCTTCTACTCCTTTTTATGTAAATAATAAACTAGAAAATAAATAAAAGAAAATTTTATTTAGGAGGGTCAATTTCTTAGAAAAATATTTCATATCACGCATATATTTTGTGCATTGGTTTTAGTTTCTGCTTTTATCAATTTACTTTCTCTGTATACTTTTTCTGCATAAAGGCCTGATTATTGTGGAAGCCTATGTTACATGGACTCTTGTACATGTATGGCGTACCAGTGTTGTACACTTGACACTTGGGTAACGGTATGAGATGTGTGTAAGTATCTTCCATTTTAGTTGGAGATTCTCCTAGCAAACATATTTTGTAATCTGAGTTTTTACCATAAGACTGTAAAACTCTCATATTATGCATGAAATGCTCTATGGCACCTTGTGAATACCATTTTACCCTATACAATCGAAGTAGTATATTAAGAAATATAAAAATCTTGCTGTGTTCCCGTGTCCTGGACATGAGAGTTAGATGAATCTGATTTGGACACTTAAGGCACATACCTTCGCTAGGTACCTGCTAATCCTTTTGCAATTAGTCTGAGAAGCAGTTTTAATTTATCCAGTTACTTCGGTTTGGAAGTTTTGTTAGATAGTTCTTGTTTTTTTCAATGATCTAGGAGGTGGAGAAAGATGTGAAAGCACGGACAAAAGGGGAGATGGGAGCTGCTAAGACACTTTGTTCTCCATTTGACCAGCCTGCACTGGATGAAGGTACCGTTTACTGTTCTTGGTCAAGGTTGTTCTAATTATTGTTCTACACTCCTATATAAGTCCATGGATAATGTGAATCTGATTTTCATCAGCATCTGTGTCATGTTGCACTGAAGTTGTTCAACACTAAAATGGCTGGTCATAGTTTTTTCTTGGCCTTGGAAAAGTCACACTACATAATGACTAGATAAACAAAGATTACCTTTATACTTGAGGTTCAGGTTGCTTTCATCTTTTAGGCCTTCATCTCTTACCATATATGCACAAACCTTGTGTTTCACTTAAAAGCATTTTCCCTGCATTAGTGCTAAAGTCTAGGCCTACTTATCCACAGAGAGTGGAAAAATCTTTGGATGTTGACTTATTGCAATTTATAGAGACCAATTGTACATATTCTTTTGCTCTCCCAACATGGTCGCTGGGTTCCCATTCTTCATTATTTGTTTGAACATGAGGAAATCAGATATTCACGTGGAACAAAATCTCCCAAGATAACTGCATGCATCCTGAAGACCATATGGAAGTTGAAGGGCACAGTTTTGTGGCTTTTGTAGGGTGCATTGGACAGTCACATGGAGTTTTAATTCATCCATTGTGCTTTACATGGCATGCATTTAAAGGCAAAGATTTATCATCTAGAATTTATACGCACCATGTTAAGGTGATGGATTTTATCTTCCACGATGACTGCCTTCTTAATAGGAACATATGTAATATGTCTATTAGATGTGCCCACATTCACCTAGTATTGTAGGACACGTGTTTGGTATCAATGGTGAGTTGGAACCAATGTGGAACGAGTGTTATCCGTTGGGAAGAGAAAAGTAAGATTCTATTATATGAATATTTTACAATTTGATTGTGTTATGGGAACATCCACTAACGAGGATTTGTTTTATGCTGTACTTTTGTGCAGGTGTATTGTGCTTTGCCTCAGGCAAACCTGCCAAGAAGTGGACGTACTGGGGTCGAAGTTACTGATCATGAATTTTGGTCTTGATGATTTTTATTTTTATGTTTTTTGAGGGTGTTACTTCTGTGTGTCTTCAACTGAGTGAGTTTAGATGTGTGACATTTGGGTGCAGTGATTGGAGCACCTTTAAAGAACCTACGGGTGGTTACAAAGACGGACCAACGTTTTTTTTTTGCACAATATTATTTCAACTTGCGAATTATGGGATTTTTTTGACATTTGTGTTTCTTACTTGACAAACGTGATGTTGCCATTGATCATGTGATACTGATACATACTAAGCTACTTGATTTGTATCTTCGAAAAAAGGAACATATTTAAAAAAAAAAAAAAAAAAAAACATAAACAAAATTGCCAAATTACTATCGATATTTGGTTAATGTGATTTTTTACAAAGATAATGTACTTAATACTCTATAAGTTAAATAGTTTGGATCATCAAAATAGGCCTGAAGTTGGGCTCACCAAGGTCCATCAATAGAAGCTGGTCCCTTATTTTTTAATTGAGTGCCAATAGAAAATTTATACAAAATTTTTATATATAATAGTATGATTTAATGATGATATTTTATTTTAAAATAAAATACTCTTGATTTTTTTGGTATGAATTTTATGTATATGCTTGCACCCCATTTTATTTTTTTTTGTCAATTATGGCCTATTAATTATGGTCAAGTTCTATTATGGTTTGTTGATCAAATTTTAAAAAATAATCTTGATCATATTTGTTATTATTATTATTATTATTATTTCTGTCGATAAGCATGTTAATGTGGTATGACAAATGTGTTAAGAATATGGTATGATGACATGTTAAATGGAAGGTTAAAAAGTTAGCAATTGCAGCAATTTCAAAATTAGTTGCTGAGATCAAGGAGCCAAGATCAAATCAAGTACTAAATTTGCAAAATGGTTCCTATTAACATGGGATATGGATAATGTGGAGAAAATCATTGGCTTGTTGAAGAAATTGTAATCTTAGGCCATCTCCAACAGTGCATCAAACCCTACATCAAATTTGAAATTTGATGAAAAACTCACTTTTTCTCACTCCAATAGTTTCACCAAATTGATATCAAAATGATAATTTACCAAAAGTTTCATCAAACTGAGGACAAACTCTAGATTTCAGTATTTCACTGTGCTATACCGTTGGGGTGGGCCAACCGGTCAACCAGCAAGATGTCCGGCCGGTTGACCCACCGGTCGACCGGTTCCCTCAACATACATGCCACAGGTGCAAATTGTTTGAATTGGCCTGACTGGTTTGAATTGGCTGAAAAAAAAATTTATAGCCTTACCAGTCGATCGACCGGTCGACCCACCAGACGACCTTCCCTTTTTGATGCACACCGTTGGAACAAGCCATATCAGATTGAGAAAATCACCTACGTTTTACTCAAATTTGATGAAAAAAGAAATGAACCGTTGGAGATGCTCTTAAGTTATCTTTTTCTCTCATGTGGCTGAATTTATAAATAGGCCAAAAGAGATACAAAGAGGAATCAATCAATCAATCAATCATCAAATACACTCGTGCAGAGTCATTTTGGAGTAATTCTAGATTAGTTATTTTAGGTGTAGATTAAACAAGTAGCTTTTCCAAACCCCTCCCACTTCTCTTATTTCGGTTGATTGCTGTATTTTCGCTTCTTTGTTCTTGTTTAGGTTTATGTAGTTGATAGCAAGGGACAAATTAATTGAATAAATACATATTATTTTTTAATCATTCTTTATTTAATTATTTCCAAGGAAATCCTTAATCTGTTTAAAGTATAGAATTCAACCACAAAGTCTTATCTTTTTAGTGTTTATTAAATATTGTTTAAGTTTGTCGATCAAATCATTGTCAATCAGGCTCGAACTAAATTTTTACCAACAGTATGGATAGAATTTTTTTAAAATTTTGTTTCTTATCAAATTATTTTTTAAATAATATATATATTTTATAAAATTCAAACAAAACATATTATTAAATAATTTTTTTTAGGACTAAGAACCACATAATATTACCTATGCAAACTAATTACATTAGTTGTCAGCGCATGAGTTAATATTGGAGTGTTTTAGGAAGATAGTTAAAAATTAATTTTTTAATTTTTTTTTAAAATATGTAAAAAATATGTGAGATGATGTGATTCAAAATAGATTAAAAATTGAGAAGTGACTTTTAACTCATTTTTCAGAAGAGGAAGTTGTCATATGTAGTCTCTTCTTGTTATTAAAACTTGACAATTGATGTTGATCGTAATATGCTTAAGATTTTGAAATTATAATTTTTAATCTCTTTTAAAATTTAAAATTTATTAATTTCATTAAATTTAATATCTACTGAATATATATAATTTAGTAATGAAAATGTGAGTTAATAAATTAATAATCTCAATCGTATGATGTAAATCCTAATTCCATGTTATAATTCACTCATCAAACATGTGTTTTTGAAGGGACTTGTTAACCCGACCTGGATAGATGGTTATGTACTTACTCGGATGGTTTTATCACTGCATAATAGGACATGAGATTTGTGCGGTTGCGGGCGGACGAAGGACAAGCAAATGCACGGCTTCTCAATCTGGTTAGATTCCCGCCATCATCCGCACCCCTTTCCCACTCCACCGTCGCTGTTTCTTGAAGCGGCCAGTGCCAGTCATCCATTACCTTCCTTCTTATTCTTCCCAACCGCAAGCGCAAGAATTTTAAACTCTCGGTCTAGGTCTACGTCTATGTCCATCTCATCAGCTTCTTCTCGATCATTCCTTGCGAATTGTTCTAACATAGATTCCATCCCTTTATTCGGTGGTGGTGGCGACGAGAATGAGGATGAGGATGAGGATGAGGAGGAGTTGCCGTCCATCTACGGCGGCGGCGAGATTGAGATAGAAAAAATTGGAAATAACTGCCGCAGAATTCGATCCATGATTGCAATAGAGGCGAGCCTTCAAACCGTTTGGAACATTTTGACTGACTACGAGAGATTGGCCGACTTTATCCCTGGTCTCGCTGTCAGCCAATTGCTTGAGAAGAGACCCAACTTTGCCCGTCTTTTTCAGGTACGCCCCCCCAGACCCATTTAATCTCTCTCTCTCATGGAGAATTCTCTACAATACACACCAATACCATATGCAATTTAGTTACGCCATTTTGTTTATGATATTATTTTGAGATGTTTGGTTATGTGTTATGTAGTATTTGATTATGACGTTTTTGTTTTTGTTCTTTCTTATCTTATAAGGTGCATATACCATAGTCTTTCCCCTCTCTCATTCCTTGTGTTTCTTTTACTTTCAATGTGTTTCATTGTAAAAATATTTCTTTTAACTTTTTATATGGATGGATATGTCTATGGATATGGCCAAACTAATTTACTAACTATTCATGTGTCTTTGGTTGATTTTGGTGATCCATTCACGAATATCTGATTTGTTTAGCTAGTAAACTAAGGTAAAAGATGTGATGCATAGAGATTGTAGTACAAGTTTCGAGTGAAGGATCGCTAAGAGGACCAGCCAATATCGCATAACAAGCTCTCTTTCTTCTAGTGTATCAAGACTTTGGGAGAATCTGGAGGCCTGGCAATTTTGAATATCCTCAATGTGAGCTAGAAACCTCCTTTTTCTTGTAATAATATTCCCAAAAAACATTTCTGTTCCAAATGAGAGCTTGTTCAGCAAACTTTCTGGTGGTCTCGACTCGAGGGTGTCATTTGAGTAGTCTGATTACTACACTTTATTCACCAGATCTGTAAGCCAGGCCGGGCCGGGCCGCTTCAAGTCTAAACGGTTTAACAAAAGGAGGATTAGGAAGCATACCTGACAGATACTATGGCTTTTGGAAAACGAGCTTCAAAATTCCCTTGCAAATGTTAAAACTTTGTAACCACATTTCCGCCCTAATAATCTGATGTAATATGACAGTCCCCAATGGCTGCCTAATCTGTTTATGAGCTTTTCTCGAAGGAAAATGCTGGGAACCTTCGAATGTGTATCATAGTTTCCATCTTCATGTATGTCTCCTAGATCATCCTCATTCGCTTCTTGAGGATTCTCGTCCTTGTCATCTGAGATCTCCTCCTGATTTTCTTCAAACGTTTTTATTTTTATTTTTATTTCTATTAACTGCAATCAGATCATATTTGAGGGATTTTGTTTTGGGGCCTTCATTACACCTCTCATCCTCCTTCATTGGATATTTTCCTATTCCCTCATTTCTCCTTGTTTCACTTTCCTCTAAATCCATTTGGTTAGTCGATGGATCACTCCTAGATTTTTTTTTTTCTTCGATATTGATCATTGGAGGATGTTTCTGCATTGGCCATTGTTGTTCAATCAACACTTTCCTTCTCGATGACTTGGATGGTTTTGGGAGCTTTCAAATATTTCAAATACCAGCATGAAAGTAGTGGTTTTAGCAATGACTTGGTGCCTCATATGGAGTAATATAATTCTTTCTTTGATTAGCTGAGCTGGTAGATCTTAGGTATATTTGTTGCTTGCATACCTGGTTCAGTAAAAGGCAGGGTGAGCACAAAATTTCTATGAAAATTGTGGATGATACAGGCCCGATGAGTCAGGTTTTCTCCTGACTGCGTCCCTCACTATCCTGTCCCAATCCTGACATGGGGCGTTGAGGTGGGCACCCCTTTGGTTATGAATTTTATAACGAATAGAAACAAGCGGCATCAATAAGGTGGTTCAAGGAGTAATGCAAAATGAAGTAGCATGAGTATAACAATACCTCATTACAACATCAATGTAGGAACAAAATCAGACAGGAGGGGAGGCGTCTCTTTCCATGCTTACGAACCGACGTTGGACAAACTGCATCTAATTGGTAAAACTCTTAGGTTCTTCATATGATTTATTTTTGAGTATTCAAGTTAGTTTGAAATGTTCCATATTGCTCCTTTACTACTAGACCAACAGCTTTTTGGCCCTGTTTGTTTTAGTCCATTGATGGTGGGATTGGATTAACAATCCGGTGGGTCCTACTTAAATCGTGTTTATTTTGCAACAATGCCATGGGACTAAGGTTTTAAAAAGCGGCCGCAACCGTTACGTAACGACGTTACGTAACGGTTTTGGTGGTTACCGCCACCCGTTATGGCCGCTTTTGCAGTGTGATTGAGATTCACAGGTGTGTCGGCTGTAGCGCTTGTCGTAGCGGTCGTAACAGTGCCGTAATAGCTGTAATGGCCTGTTATGCACCGTTTCGTAACGGTTTTGAACTATTTCTTTCGAAAAAATACACAAAAAAAAGCTGAAAATGGGGAAAGAGGGATAGAGAGAAGAGGGAAGATAAAGAGAGAAAATAGAAGAGCAAGAGATAAAGAGAGAGAACAAGGAAGATGAAGAACATGTTATTAATTTGTTGAGGCTGTAAGACCTATGCTATTTTATTCAGCTGCTATCACTCAACCATTTTGTTTGTGTGTCTATCTATATATTGTTTGAAAATAATAATAATAATAATAATAATAATAATAATAATAATAATAATAATAATAATAATAATAATAATAATAATAATAATAATAATAATAATAATAATAATAATAATAATAATAATAATAATAATAATAATAATAATAATAATAATAATAATAATAATAATAATAATAATAATAATAATAATAATAATAATGTGTGGTCATTATTTATTTGGCTTGGTTAAAATATATATATATATATATATATTTAGGCTCTTATTTATTTTCTTATTTTTGTCATTATTTATCTTATATATAATAGTTAGTGATTAATTTTTTGTATAATATAAAGTCATTAATTATTAAAATAAAATATAAAAAACTCAGTTTATAGTGATTTAAAAATATGAAATATATTGGATCATACTTCAAAATTTACAAAAATTGATAAATATTTATTTTAAACCCAATAAATATGATTATGGAAAAAAAATATGCGTATCGGTAAGTTTTTTTCAAATTGTGCGAAAAATAAAAAAATTCACGGTTCCAGTTACCGCAACCGTTACGCTACGGCCTTTAGACCCCGCAACCGCAACCGCAACCGCGCCATCGTTACCGTTACGGCGACCGCAACTGCTTTTCGAAACCTTGCATAGGACTAACAATGCCATGGGACTACAAATCCCCTCAAAGGAGGGTATTAGCAATCCTAAACCCTAAACCCTACAAATTTCCATGGATTGGAGGTAAAAATACCATTTTACCCACACTTCATAGGAATAATGAAGTCAATTTTTATATATTGAGAACTTTTACATAAATTCATAGATTTAATCCTAACCAACTAATACCACCAGACTAATACACAAACAAACACAATTTATCTTACATGTTTAACCTAATACTATCACACTAGTAATCCCTGCTCTCAATCCCACTGTACTAGTAATCCCATCTCCTACCCCTGCTTGAACCTGAAATGGGTTGTTCCTCCTTCCCTTACCCCTGCCCTAATCTTATAGTGATGTACCACAACTCCATTATATTAGGGTAAGTCAAGGTGGGCCCTGACATTCTAACAAGTTGCCAACCTTGATGAAAATAGATCAGCCCCCTACTAATGAAGCTTGTGGTATTAAATTTTCAAAGCCCTAGGCTGACTTCATTCCTTAGGGACAATAAAAATATTCTTATTATAATAAGAATGGAGAAAAATGAGTCATGTAGCCGATCCCATTTGTGTGGGACACAAGGCTTACTTTGGTTTGGGTTGATTATGTTAGGTAGGAGGAGGCCCATGTTACATGGCCTTGGGTACGAGTATCGGATATGGGTGCGAGTCCAAGCGTCAGATCTTCATAAATGTAAATCTTAAGATATTGGGATATGTATACAAAATAGGATATGGGTATATGGGGACTCATGGTGGACACTTACATATGACATATTATAATATGTAAATTATGTAAAAATATACTTGAAATTAAATAGGATATAGGGAAATTATGGAATTTTTGCGTCTCATCTATGTTAAAGACTGTAAATGTTTCTTTTCTAGTAAATGTGAGTTTCTTATTCTTCGAACATTATGAAAAGTTGGAGGATCAGGTGTCTAAATTGGGTATAGGTGTCGGACACATATCCCGCAAGCATGTCATATCCGTTGGACACGGGTATTTTGGAGGAAATAGAAGAGTCCACGGAACATAGTGGGAGACTGCTGTGATGGGCTGTCCTCTGTTTCAATTGTATCAGAAGTTGGAACTTTTAAAAGTGGAATCAAAAGTAGTGAATAAGATTGTAAATTTTCAGAAAACTGAAGGTCAATAAGGGAAAGTTTGAAATTAGTATATGGTTATGCTAAAACTATGTAGGACCGAGGAAAGAATTTCCATACAGTAAGCAAGAATCCATTTGCTGGCTCTGGATGATTAAAATACAACTTTTATGAGACAGTGCACAGTTGAAATCTCATATAAAATTATGGTGTGGGACAAGAGTTAGGATTCAATGAATTTGAGAGGAGCAATTCTAAAATTGTATGAGAAGTTTTGAGTTACGAATTTATGAGGCACCTTGCAAGTTTTCTATACCAAAGAAAAGCTCCACTTGTGGAATTTATTTTCAAGACACTTTCAGTGGATCAAGTTTCTTCTCTGGCCAGGGCATTCGCTGATGAAGAGATTTCCCACAAGTAGCTGTGAGTTTCTTTTTCTGGGTGCATGTACTGATGGAAAACAAAGAAAAAAGGTGGCAACTCTATCAGTGTATTCGTTGGTACCTATAAAGCACGGGTACTCCAAAAATGTTGCTGTACAAGCATTGGGTACTTAGGCCTCGTTTGGGAACAGGCTAATTTAGTAACTTTTTGGCTATTTGGCTAAAAAGGTAGGTAAAAAAAACTTGTATGTTTGGGATGACTTTTTAGCTAATTACGAAAAGATGTGCAAAAAGTAGAGAGAAAAGAGAATCTTTGACTTTTTGGTATGGGTTGTTGACTTTTTGGCTAATTTAGTAACTTTTTGGCTAATTGGCTAAAATAGCCTCTTGCCAAACGAGGCCTTACTGGGTATGGCAAAAACGCACTGGGTACGTTTTATACGATATGTAGAAGCCTGGTACGCCATGTGTACGTTTTTGGGTATGCTGGGGTAAAAAACAAGATTTTCAACAATTGTAAGGGTACCGGAGCAACTTTTTTGACCATCTTAAAAAATTAAATAACTTTGGGGTTCTTTTGTGATAATAAAAACATAACACAAATTGAAATTAGGTTTATTGTTTTGATTCGATTCTCTCTTGCGAAGAACACAGTTGATGAGTTCAAAGAAAGAACACAGTCGGCGATTGAACTCTCCTTTGAAGATGACAGTGCTGGTTGACGGCAAAGCTCGATATCCCAGTGAGTTTCTCTTAGTTCCTCTTCTTCTTCCTTTTTCTTTGATTTGTTTTTTCAGATTTTTTCACTCTTTTTTCGCAGTAAACAAACATCTGATTTTTCTTGTTTCCGGTGAGTTTTCTTACCTCCTCTTGTAGCCAATCTCCTCTTCTTTGATTATCTTCTTCTTTGGTTATCGTTTTTAATCTGTCCAACATCTGATTTTTTTCTTTATATAATTCTGTAGTAGACACAATCAGAATTATATAAAATAAAAGATAAAAAAAATTTAAAATCTAAGGAGACAAAAGAAATGAACATTTAAATTTAGGGTTCATAAACTGATTCTGATGTATTTATTTCATTGTAATTACTTTCATAATATTGATGATTTTAAATTGTTATATGAATAATTTGAAAATTTATATACTCGAATGAAGTGAAAAAATTCACAAATTATTTTGGTTTTGTAATTTTTGTTTTTAATTATCATATTAAACTTTGATTTGTTGGATGTTTAGCTATAAATTAAAAAATTAATAATAAAAAAAAAATTAGCGTACCCTAGCCGTATCTGTACCATACTTTTTAAAGAATTTGTTGTATCGGCGTACCCATACCTGTATTCGTACCAGCACCCGTGCTTCTTAGGTTGATAGGTAATGTATAATTTCTTGTTCTGGGTGCGTGCAGTGAGGGAAGAAAAGAAAAAAAGAAAAAAAAAAAGGGTGGAAACTCATTCATTTTATTTAATGGTGGTGTATTTGAATTTTTTGGTTCAGGTAATTTTTTCATGCACTGGTGTGAAACTTGCATCGGAGATCTTCTCTAGAAATCCCACTCCAAGCATGCTTTGTTTATTAAGATTTTGTTTTTAGGTTGAAATTAATATCTCAAATTAATTTATATTCGTGCACAAATATTTGATCCATTCCCATCATCTATAACCTAGTTATAATGCTAGTACATGTCTCTAATTCAACAGATTGGACAGCAGAAATTGGCATTTGGGCTAAACTTTAATGCTAAAGGAATTGTTGATTGTTATGAGAAAGATCTTGAGAGTCTTCCTTTTGGTCAAAGGCGCGATATTGAATTTAAGATGGTTGAAGGTGATTTTCTGCTGTTTGAGGGCAAATGGTCTATTGAACAGGTAAGGTCTTCTTGTCGTTGATACTCGGCTGGATTCTGGCTTTTCTGCCAACAAAGCAGCATTTTTGCTCTGAAAAAAGTTTCTGCAGTTAGTGATGGGGGATTTTTTTGTGTTCCCAGCAAATTCATTCACGACCTTCATTCATATGAGTTTTTATTTTTGTTTTTAATTTTGTGTCATTTTAGCTCACTGTTGTGATATTGTTAACGAATCCTAATATGGAACTCTTAACACTACTCTAACAGCCAGTCAGTGAAGGTGTTTACTTATTTTATGTTTCATCTATGTGTTTTTTACTGATTCAAGATGATTGTCCTTTTAACGTTGACTGATGGGTGTGATTGCTTAATGTTTGGGCTACACTTTGCAATTGAAGTGTGTTGAGCCCAACCAGCGATCAACAATGAAGAATAATAGTGACACAATTATGGTGATATTTACATATATTTTTATGATCCACTGGTGATGGGGTGTACATGATGGCAGGTAACCCATCCTCTGCCCAAACAGCACCTCAATCATCCCTCCCTGAAATAAATAAACAAATAAAGAGGAAGAAGGCTCTTCAATGCCAGGTTTCTAGTGCTACCATCAAGAGTTTGTACCAACTAACTTAGCTTGCACCAACTTAGTTTGCACTTTCGTTTATCTTCTTTGTTTGTTCTTGAAGACGTTGTTCACAAAGATAGGGCGTCTTTCAGTAAGTTTGAGATATTTTTTCTTAGTTTAATTTAGGGTTTTGTTCTTATTTTTTTTATAAAAGTCAATTCTTATCAATGGTTCATGAAAATTGAGCCTGGTGTTTGAATTTTCTTATGAGAACTTGCATCTGTCTTGTCTGTCTCCCATCTTTCTTTCTTCTCTGTTCTTACTATTTATGAGCTTTTGATACCAGTGATTTGGAAATGCAGGTCAATATGATTTGTTTGTGTTGTGTGTTTCAAAAAATTGTGCATGTATCAAAATAAAAAAATATTCACATTTGGAAAAGTTTGATGCTTTCCTAACTTCATTTGGAAACTTGAATAATTTTGTGGGCCATATATAAATACAAGAGCTGATGATTTTTTTAAAAGTTGGGTGGATGCAGTGCAACATAGAAAGATGTGAAGATGGAAATTCCTTGGTAGGCGAAGAATTTCATACTACTCTTTCATACGTTGTTGATGTGGAGCCAAAGCTGTGGTTGCCGGTTAGTCTTGTTGAAGGCAGACTTTGCAGAGAGATACAAGCCAACCTTTCATGCATTCGAGCGGAAGCAGAAAAAGCTAAACGTGGCATTCTTCCTGATAACTGATGTAACCATTTGTTCACCTCGCTAATTACTTCATGTAAGTATGTCTATTCCAGTACAATTTGTTGATATTTAAATTCAAATAATATACTTTATGTCAGTTGCACTATGAATATATTATATATGAACATATATTATTATTATTATTTACATGGATAGAGAGGGGGAGAGGGGGATACTACATTTTAACTGTCTCCTATGATAACCAGGTTAGGCTGTGAAAGTAAACCGCAACTCGTTGCCTGTACTGCCATTATTAAAATTAACTTGTTCCCATCCTGTCCCCATTATCTCTTCCACTTGTCCTGCTACAGCCGCTTCGATATGATTTAAAGTGGGGGCAGATCACTGGAAGGCTGCCCTCATCTTGTTGTCATCCCTACTTGCTCCAGCCCACCCCCTGCCATCTCAACACAAGCCTCATCTCACCTACTTAACATATTAGATACACCGACATCGTCCCATCTTCTCAGTTTCTCAAATATTTTACTTGTGAAACCGATGTTGTTTTCCCTCTCATTTGGTCCTCTATACTGTGTTTAGTTGGGGGATTTAGGGAAGAATTTGAAAAGGGAAAGGGAAAGGGAAAGGGAAAGGAAAAATGTGTGTGAAACTAGGTGAACTGTCGGTATATTTTATTTATATTTCATCTACTTTTTCATTTTCCTTTTTAAATCACTCCTCAAATCCCCAACCAAACACGACATTACTGATTTCACTAGTGAAACAATTGCCACCATGATTATTCATTATTGTTGTTATAAATTCGATCCATAGCATCAATATTATTTTGGTGAAACAATTGTAACCCACCATGATGCCTGTTGTCATCCATCACCTTATAAGCCCAATCGCCACTCTTTTTCGAACTTCTTCAAGTTGCGTTTCAATCATGAATTTAGGTAGGAATTTGGAGAAAAAAAAAAAAGAAGGGGGCAAATGTGAACAAAATTATAAGCTAAATCTTTTCTTCATTTTCCTTTCCCTTTACCCTTTCTCATCCCTATCCAAATAATTGATCCAAACACAACGTTAGTTAATCCTTATCCACTAACTTGTTATAATTTTTTAATGCTATGCTTGGATTTGCAAAAGGAGAAACAAAAAGAGGAGGTGAGTCTAATTTTGTTCACTCATTTTTAAAGTGATTGAACAAAATATATTTTTTGATTGGACTCCATGGTATCAATACACTATTTGATACGCAGGCCTTTTCCATCAATCATACGATGTGTTTTATCCATGCGCATCAAAAGTGTTAACAGATTTGTTTTTCAAGATGAACTATCTCTTATCTTTTTTGGATAAATTATACTCACTTCCTTTGTGGGTTGAAAAGATAAAATTAGTCTCATATTTTTAATATAATTATACGACCTCTCATTTGGTAAGACTAAAAACAATCGAAACCAATGTAGATAGCAAATAAATATCAAAATAAATAAAGACAAACATTCATTTTAGTAGAAAAAAATGATAATATATATCGATATATATTTATATGATTACCGAATTATTGATGGAAAAAAGACTTGACTGGAGTGAATTATAATCTCAAGGGAGGCCAATATAATTCTATGAAAAATATGTGACTAATTGTATTTTTCTCAAATCTCAAGGGAGGTAAGTGTAATTTACTCATCATTTTTTTTAATAGTAATGCCAAGTGTACAAAATTAGTACACACACAGTACAAAAAATGTATTTGTGATTGTGGGTCATTCTAAAATATATACACCTTTTACCGTATGCAAAGTTATGATATTTATGGTGTTGATTATTACAAATGTATAACTAAATTAGTTTCAATCATAACTAAAAAAAACATAATCAGTTGTAACCAAGTACCACGTAAGGTATAACTAAAGATTTTTTTCGATTATAATTAAAATAATAATCATAATAAGACATAATTGGGCACATGATACATATTCCAAAAATAGAGTGTGTTATAAACTTTTTCGTGATTTGATAATATAACTAATTAAAGGGGCCAAAAAAGTGATATTTCCTTCTTTTTGTTTGATTAAACAATAATTAGCAGCATTGTTATTCAGGCTCAAAAGTTAGACCCACTTTTTAGATTCAGTGATGTGTCAAAAAGATGATTGATTGATAATTTGAGAATATTTAATTATCAACCAATTACTATCTAGAAAAAAAATGGGTGTCAATTTTCTTATAATTATAGCAGAAAGACAGTTAAATACGATGAATTAATAAAAGAAAAAGATTGAGTTTCACATTTTAAATCTTACGATTTTATTCATAATAACATGACAAGTTATAAGTTAATTTTTTAATTTGTCATAAGCTCAATTATGTAGACTTAATTTTTTAACATGTCATTGTGAGACTTAAATTGCCGTCTCTAAGCATTTCTCATTATAACTATCCCTAAAGTGAAAAAAAATATTAAGCATAATAGTGATATTATCTTATGTGTTGTCACTGGTCAATAAAAAGTCATAAAGAGATTAAGTAGATAAGTTTTATTTCCCATTAACTTAACATTATTATGGTCCCTATTATAAATTAAAATTACTTATTAAATGGTGGCCATGTCATACTACATTTAATATTTACTCAATAAAGTGTCACCTCACGTATCTCTTCATCATTAGAAGCCATTACTAGGGCAGTAAAAAAACAAATAGAACTGAATATTTTTGCCAGTTTCACAAGTACTTTTTTTTATCAGTTTATATGTACTTTTTGATAATTTTTTTTGATAACTTTGGCATTGCTCATTTTTTACATCGACAACGATCAAAGGGAATCTACTAGTTTTTATAGAACCATTAACACCTCTTATAAATCTCTTATTTATACGAAACTGAAACGGTGGTGCTACATTTGCTTCCGATCAATTGATACCTATAACATTATTCAAACTAAAAAAGGCGATTCAATATTAAAATCCTCAACTTTGACGGAAAACATTAAAACCAAGCCACCACCTTTTCTTCATCTTTATAAAGCCCTTTACATTTGACCCGACCCATTTTCATTTTGCCTAAGCCTGCCAACCCCTATCTATTAGGATACATAATTATTGTCTAGTTCTCTTTAATAAACTTAAATACCTATAGGTTTTACACATTTTTTGAATGCACCAATAAATCCTAATATCTTTCTTTAACCCTCATCCTCTTATCTTCTCTCTCTACAACATTTCTCTAAGAGCCTTACACTACCACGACCATCGCTATTGTAGCCAACCACCACCACCATCGTTGTCCACCAGTCACAGTCATCATCGCCGTCGACCCATTACCGCTGTCATCTTCCACTCGCCACCGTCGATGTCCGTTCACTACACCTATCAATCTACACTCCACCGTTTACCAACCACCTTCACCATCACTGATTTACACCCTGTTGCCGCCGATCTATACTGTACATCTTCGATCTCCACTCTACCGTCTTCGATCCACCGATCTAGTTCTAAATTTACATCGATCTAGTTCTAGATTTACACCGATCTAATTGTTTCAATGGTGAATTCTACTCCAAATGGCTTCAAGCAACAATGTTTTCCAAATCTTACCCCTCTTCCTCTTTGTCTTTGTCTTTCTATTTTTCAAACCAAATCTGTTGCAAATTTATTTTTCAGTAATGAATTTATCAATCTTTGGTTCCGTATGTGTATGTAAGATGAGAATGTCTTGTGAGTGAGTGTAAGTGTGAATGTGAATGAGTGATTTGGTATCTGTAATTTTTTACAAATCACTCATCACTGAATGTATGTTTAATTCTTTTATTGAACTATTATGGTAAAGACTAATGTGAACAATTTTCAGGTAAAACTATTTTTCCTCTCTCTCTCTCTCTCTCTCTCTCTCTCTCTCTCTCTCTTTCGTGTTGCTACTCAAACTAAGGAGGTGATAGTGACAGTGATGCGATGGAGATGAACGTTTGTTTTTGTTGAAAAATGATCAGAAAAATATCATTGAAAGTCGCCTAAGATTAGAGGTAATTATTTGTAGTTAGAAACGACAGATGGAGGTGGCCACCGGAGGTCAAAGGTAGTTGTCGGAGATGGCTTCCAGAGGTCAGAGATAATTGTCAGAAGTCAGAGGCTGTTGCTCGTAATTGGAGATAACAGTACTGCTGGGGACCCAGTGGGGGTGACCCCAGCGAGTTCGGATCCTCGGCAGCCTTCTTCTGCCGCCCTTCTTGCGGTGTCGACATCGTTTTGGGGCAAGTTTTAAAAAAAAAAAAAAAAAAAGAAAAAAAAAAGAAAGAGGCAAAACAGAACAACCTACAGAGGGAGAGAGAGAAGAAGAAAGAATGGAGAAGGAAGGCAGAGAAAGAGAGGAGGAGGAATATAGGAGTAGGAGGAAGAAGAAGAGAGACGCCGGCGATGGCTTCGTCGGCCTAATGGGAACCCGCAATCTGGCCACTTCGAAGAAGAAGAAAGAGAAGGGGTAGAAGAAGAGGATCGAAACGACCCAGGTCCTTCGAAATCGATCTCAACGAGACCCCCTGCCCTTTCATCGCGAAACCCTCGACGTTGCCCCGGATTTGTGGTGGTTGCGGGCTATAGGTTTGTCCCATTTTTTTTTTCTCTCTCTATGTATATATATATATATATATCTTGGATTTGGTTGTTAATTTTGAACACCTAGTGTTAATTTTTTTCTCTCTCTCTATGTATATATATATTTATCTTAGATTTGATTGTTAATTTTAAACACCCAGTGTTTGTGGTGGTTGCGGCCTACAGTTTTATCATTTGGTTGTTAATTTTGAATGGTTTTTGGAATGTATGAACGTTTGAATGGTGTTTGAATGCCTCTGCTTGGTTCTTTCTCTGCCTTCTCTTCTGGTTCTTGCCTTCTGAATCTGTCTTCTTCTTTTTCTTTTTTTTTTTTGTTGAAAACTTGCCCCAAAACGACGTCGTTTTGGGGCGCCGCAGGAAGGGCGGCAGGAGAAGGCTACCGAGGATCCAGACTCGACCCGAGCACCCCTCACCTCCACGTGAGGGGCTGTGATAACAGGACTTAAAAATAAAT